AGCTGAGGAATTCTGGGAGTTGAAGTCCACACATCTTAAAGTTGCCAAGGTTGAGAAACACTGCTCTAATGACCCCAGTCATCCTGTCTAAAACTGTTTTTCACGCCTGGCTAAAAGTGCACTTGCACAAACAGAAACTCAAGGTGAACTGAAATATGATTTACTGAGCTAGCCCAACTGACACAATCCAGCCAAGCATATTTCAGCGTGTTGTAGTCCCACCCAACCTGGGTGCCCTCCAGATGCATGTCCTTCAACTCCCAGGATTCCCCGTCTAGCACCGCCACTCCAAAACGTGGCAGTGGAGGGCAGCAATTAGTGGCTTGAGGAGAGGGGACATTCCTGCTACCAGGTGCAGTATCTAATCAAAGTGGAAATGAAATGAAGTGCAGCAGATGAAGCCCTGGTTGTCACTATCACAAGCCAGAAAACATTTCTGGGGACAGAAGCGTCCCCAGAGGGGTCAACAGTGTCAAATGATGAGCATCACTGGGCAATCGAACCCTGCCCCTAAGGTCTGGACTTTGGTCACCAGGTGGTGCATGCCCTTTTGACATGCTGACACCTCCCACTCCTCACACAGTTGCACCTGACTGGGGAAGACATACATGTTCAGTTTATTTAACACATTTGTAAGGCTGCCCTGCTCCATAGAGACTCTGGATGGCATACAATATTAAAAACAAATCAACAACAACACTAAGGCAAAAAATAGTAAACATTTGGAAAAAATAAAACCAACATCTACTCAACCATACAGCATTCCTACAAAGGAATTTCCAGCACAAGGCTTGGGGGAAGAGCTGGATTTTAAGAACAAGACCTTGGTAGGGGCAATGAAAATCTCAGTTCATGGAAGAAGCCTGTCCAGCAAGTGAAGTCAGTCACTGCCTTTTGTCTTTAAGCACTATATGTAGTTTGGAAATAGAAATAATTCAGTGTACCCAGATTTATGGAAAGCTGATATTAGAAAGGTCAACAAGAACATCTTTGAATGATTGAAAAAGTGATACAAACTGTTGAACAGGTTTGGGTTTGAAATCTGTGTGCAAGCAACAAAAACTATTATGCAGATACATGCCAAGAGTATTGTCTGTTGTTATCTGGAACATATCAGTTAAAATAGGAAAACAACTCCAAAGAGCAATAGATACAAGATTGACTGGATAGGATTCAAGTGTGATGCAGCATACATATACATCCCTTTGATCTCTAAATCCATATTGCATGTGGCAATCCTGGGTCAAAATATTTTTATGCAGTGACATTCATTAGATCTCGTGATTGCTATTTTTCTATGCAACATCTCCCTCTATTTTGGGCAAATTGCAGGACAAGAAGAATCCGGTGGAAAATGGGATGAGCCCTCGACTATGAAAACAATCTACTTCACATGGAAGAAGAGCATAAAGGAGGCAGTGGTCTGTAGGGCTCTAACTAGCCTACAGGCTTGCACTTACTTCTATGCTTGTGGAGGAGCACTGCTGCTGTCACTGAAGCTGGCAGTAACGCTCAGCATCAAGTGCTGAGGTAAGGGAAGGGATCTCCAGAAGAAGGAGGAGATGGGCTTACCTGTTGGGACCTAGGTTGCAGGTCAGGGAGTTAGAGGCTGAGACAAAACCAGTCCAGGCAACATCTCTGGGCTCAGCAGCTCCATTTTTTGATCCACTGCCTTTCCATCTCAGCCACCGTTGAGTGGAGGAGGAAAGGGCTGACTGGTGGAAGAAAGCTAGATTGCAGGGCCAGACTCCCTGGATGAAACAGCTTCCCCCAGAATCAGAACTATGCTATACAGCAACTAAACTTGAGAGGGGCTGGCTCTTTGGATCTTGATAAAGCAGTATCAGGCTGAGACACTTGATTGCTGGAAAAAACAGACATTTGAACCTGTGTTGCCCTATGTTGAAAATCTATGACTGTGAACTATCTTCCAGGTTATATTCTTCCAGCATGACCCCTCTTGTATACAGTACAGTATTCCTTGGCTTTCAACCACAAACTGATGTGAATAATCATTTATCTCTACTGTCTCTTCTCTCCCTCTTGATCCTTGCACCTCTGCGGAGCAGGACCATTGGCTTCTTATTTGTTGTTTTTTCATGTTCACTTCAAAATTCTAAATCCTAGATACTTTTAATTTTTTATGTATGTATTTGTTTAAGCATGATTTGGCTAGGTTTATTTGTTTGTTTGTTTGTTTATTTATTTAATCAATTTATATGACCCACCATCTCAACAAATTACTCTGGGTGGTAAACAGTATTAAAAAAGTAAAAACTTATGCAAAAATTAAAATACACAGCACCCAAGAAAACCACAACAATCATTAACATAGACAGGTGACAGACCTCCTCACACACTCAGGGCCCAGGCCTAAGCACAGAACAAAAGGCCAGGAGGGTCAGGGCCAATGGAGAATGTACCAGAAGGCGGGCACTATGGCAGAACAGGCTTGACTTCTGGGCCCCACCAGCTGATAATCCAGAGGGGACCAATGGGACCCAGAGCATGCCCATCCTGCCGGATCAGATAGGATGGGAAGAAACAATCGGGGACAGAGGTCCCATAAGTAACTCAGCTCCAATCCATTACGGGCTTAAAAGGTGACTACCAGCATCTTGAATCGCACCCAGAAGCATACTGGAAGCCAGTGCAGGTCACAGAGTACTGATGTCACGTGGACCAAGTAACCAGTGCCATTGACTACCCATGTTCCACATTCTGCACCAGCTAAAGCTTCTGAATGCTCTTCAAGGGCAGCCTTACGAACACATTGCAGTAATTCAGGCAGGAGGTCACGAGGGCATAATGGATTGTGAGCAGGGCCTCCCAGTCCATTGTGCCAACCCATAAACCATGGTTTACAAACCAGTCTCTAAACAAATCATATTATGGCTTAATTTGTGATCCCTATGAAGAGTTAATGTAATTCTGTTATTACATTTTTTTATGCTGTGGTTTTCTTGGCAAAAACCTGAGGGCCTATTTTGTGTTTATAACACATTGTATTTCATTTGCAAGGCCAGATGAGAACACAGATGTAAGAGAAGAACAATGTATGTAATAGAATCACATTACTGGAAGATAAATGCTTTTCAGAGGAGACATAACTAAAATGTCTCAGTGAAGAAAAATATCATTTTATAGTATTATAGGCAGTGACAGAAAAATGAGACATAATGCAGAAGTATGAATGCACTTCTGACTGCCTAGGAAGAAAATGATAAAATTGTTTCCTATAAATGAAGTATCTGTGGTGAATACAAAATACAGATAGTCCTCCCTTAACAATGGTAATTGGGACCGGCAACACTGTCACTAAGTGACATGGTTGTAAAGTGCAATGTCACATGACCATGCCAACTTACAACAGCAGTTGTGGCAATTCTAACTGCAGTCGTTAAGCAAATCCCACACAGTTGTTAAGCACATCATGTGATCACCATTTGTGACCTCCTGCCAGCTTCCCCATTGACTTTCCCCATTGACTTTGCTTGTCAGAAGCCAGCAGTGAAGGTTGCAAATGGTGATCATGTGACTACAGGATGCTGCAGCCATTGTAATTGTGAGCCGGTTGCCAAACACCTGAATCACTGCGACTGCCACAACTACGAGGACCGGTCGTAAGTCTCCTCGTTCAGCACTGTCGTGACTTTGAACAGTTGCTGAACAAGTGGTTGTTAACCGAGGACTATCTGTAGTTACCTTCCTGCCTCTAATTCATCTTTAACTGACCTTGGTATAGTGCACACAAACAAAATTATTACTATTATTATTATTATAATCATCTAAATGTACAGGTGAAACTCGAAAAATTAGAATATCGTGCAAATGTTCAGTTATGTCAGTAAGGCAACTCAAAAGGTGAAACCAATATATGAGATAGACGCATATTCTAATTTTATGAGATTGTGAATTCGGGGTTTTCATAAGCTGTACGCCATAATCATCACAATTATACCAAAGTAAGGGAATATTACATGACATCAATAACACAAGGATTGGAAATAGAACAATAGCGGACCTCTGCAAAGTATAAGCATGCATATGTACTCAGTACTTGGTTTGGGCCCCTTTTGCAGAATGATTGCCGCAATGCGGCATGGCATGGATGCTATCAGCCTGTGGCACTGCTGAGGTGTTATGGAAGACCAGGATGCTTCAATAGCAGCCTTCAGGTCCGCTGCATTGTTCGGTCTCATGTCCCTCATCTTTCTCTTGGTGATGCCCCATAGATTTTCTATG